TCACCGGAGCCGGCGAGCGGGCCGGCCCCTGGCCAGCCCCGCCGGCGCCATGGAGGAGGGCTCCAGCTCGCCCGTGTCCCCCGGGGACAGCCTGGCCACCAGCGAGGAGGAGCTGGAGCGGCAGCCCAAGCGCTTCGGCCGGAAACGGCGCTACAGCAAGAAATCCAGCGAAGACGGCAGTCCGACGCCCGGCAAGCGGGGCAAGAAGGGCAGCCCGAGCGCGCAGTCCTTCGAGGAGCTGCAAAGTCAGCGCATCCTAGCTAACGTGCGGGAGCGCCAGCGCACCCAGTCTCTCAACGAGGCCTTCGCGGCGCTGCGCAAGATCATCCCCACGCTGCCCTCGGACAAGCTGAGCAAGATCCAGACACTGAAGCTGGCCGCCAGGTACATAGACTTCCTCTACCAGGTCCTGCAAAGCGACGAGATGGACAATAAGATGACCAGCTGCAGCTACGTGGCCCACGAGCGCCTCAGCTATGCCTTTTCCGTGTGGCGTATGGAGGGCGCCTGGTCCATGTCTGCTTCCCACTAGCGCCCACCACAGCCCAGACCGGTGCCAAGGTAGGTGGCTCATTCTTCCTCCTGGGGGTCCGTGGTAGCGTGGATGAGGGAGCACTTTTCTGCTTAGCCGCAGATGCAGGAAGCTGGGAAGCACCCTGGGGGTCAGCTGGAAAAAGTAGACTTTGGCCCCTTCAGCAGGGTTCTAGAACACAGTGAAAATTCCCATCTGGGCTTCTTTTGGGAGTGGGCATCAGAGAGACGCCTGGGCCAGCCAGGGCTAGGCCGATGGGACCAGCCCTTCGCGTCCTGCTGAGGCAAGGCCGCCCCTGGCCTTGTCTTCCCTTGTCACAGGAGTAGCTGCACGCGGTCGTCAGGCGGACCGACGCCCCTCCTGGCTGCTGGTGCCGCGGGCTCTGTGTTGACCCATGAGGAGCACTGTCTGGAAGGTGGAGACAGCCTGTTTGGGGCTTGGCACTTGTCTGGCTCAGGGCACATTGCAGCTCATTGCAGCCAGCTCTGCTCCCTGGCCTGGCCCCTGGCAGCGCAGCCCTAAAGCAGGGGTCGGCCAGGCCACAACAGGCACATCTGACTCAGCCGCGGGGCCCCAAGCTGCCCGCCAGCAGGTGGAGGCCAGCCTCAGAGCTGTGGCCTCGCTTGAACTTGGAGAGCCTGAGAGGTCTTAGGCCCGCTGAGGACCCGAGGACTCCAGGCTAGGAACCAGGTTTCCAGGGGAAGAAAGAGGTGCCCGCTGGACCTGTGCAGGGATAAGGTGACAGAGAAGGAAAAAATGCAGTTGGCGCATTCAAAGGTGGGGGTTCCCCCCGGGAGAAGCCCTGAGGACTGTCCTCTGGCACGGAGTACCTTGGCGCGCCATTTCCTGAAGGGCTTTTTGGAACAAGCAGGCATCTGCTTTGACCCGCCAATCTCTGACAGCGGGTGTAAGTGTCTTTTTGGGGGGAGCAAAGAGAGGAGGTTCAGGCTTACATTTTCCTTCTACTTGATACGTTTTCGGTTCTCTCTCATCTTGCACTGTTTTCATGAAAGGCTCTATTTCGCACAGAAGGAATTTAGATTAATCAAGAGCTTCCTTCTGCTGCGGTGTTCTCCCCCAACATAGCTGGTTCTTTATAATTTTGTTCTGAAAACTCTGCAAATGTTGTTGCCTGGCACAGGTAGATTTTAGATTTTATTTGTTTTTTTTGCTTTCATTTCTGTGCTGCTGAAAATTCTCTGGATGAAACAACCTCTTAAAATAATTATAATTTGTTTTGTTTTTTAAGATTTTTTAAACAGAGAATAACTTGTGGGAACCTTCTGTCTTTGTCAAAAGCAGATGGGAAGTGTCTCAATCACTTTTTTCTTGAGGAAAGAAAGTTTGGGTTGGCTGAGGATAATACATTAATTCTCTCTGTGTGTTTTTTCTTGTTTTTTTCTGCTTAAATTATGAGCATCCATTAGTTAATTCCCTTCTACTCTTTATGCCATCCTTGGTTTATAATATATCTGAAATAAGAATAAACAGATGATGAATGCTATCTTTTAAACACACACACACACAAGTTTTGTTTAGGGAAAATGTCAACAGATTTATCAAGACTGCTCCCCAGAAAATTATTGGTGGAAAAAATGCACCAGGAGATACTATCTTAGTGCAAGAATGTAGTAAGGATATTTAAAGGTAATTATACTGTAAAATTGAAAGAATGAAAGTAGACCATAATGAAAGAATATACACATATACATTATGTGTATCTTTAAAGGCAGTGCTTGTGATAAATGAAAGGCAGTGTTATGAAATTGTTTGGAAAAAAAATCCTTGGAAAATGTAATAGATCACACATTCAGATGGAGAGCAGATGGTCTATATAGGGTCTTATTTCATCCACCACTGGCTACTTCAGATAAGCCGGTTTTTAAAGTTGATTAGGTATGCACAAATCTTCAAGAAACCAAAGGGGTATGGACATTTTTGATACACTGATGAAGCTGAACATTTCTTACGTTTCAGGCACGTTTAGAAACATGTTTTTGTATTCTTTATGTTCTGAACCCAAATTACCTAAAAAAAAATGTGTGATTGCTTTGTCATTCCGTCTGCATGTTGTTGTTGTTACGTGATGTCCAGTCAGTTTCTACTCATAGCAACCCTGTATCAGGTTCCAGAGAACCTTGTGGTTAACAGTCCAGTGCTTATATTATACAATTATAATTGGTCTGACCTGGAAATGTCATAAAATGGCATTTGTTACTTATTTGCAACATTTCTAGGAAACATTTGTTAATATGTATCAGGAAAGACTTTTTATCCATTTCCGTAAATTGCTTGTGATCTTAATGTCTAATCAGAGGTGTTCTCACATTAAAGAGCAGGGTCTGGCCTCACAGCAATAACTGTAGTGGAGTAAACGGAGCTAACTATCCTGGCTTTCTCATGTGTCTGGTGTTTAAAACACACCTAGGCAATACACCCCACAATGCTACACAGTCCACTGAAAAATCGAAACTGGGTTTTTATTCTGATCGAGATTGCGATGGATGTGTGAGTCTCGGGTAGGATCAAAACCACCTGGCTGCAGTGTGGTGGAAAGTGGTAATTATAAATCAGGCATTTGTCCTGTTCTCCATGTCATGGTTCACAAAAATATCTTCTCCAACTTCTGCAACAGATTTTTAGTCAGTTTTGATCATCACAGGATAGCTTACGTGTGTGTGGAGAACTTGTAGTTCGTTTGGAGAACAGCATATAACCCTTTCTAATACACGTCCATTTTTTTTTCCTTCCCTCCTGAAAATTGATTCCTGGGAGGCTGTCTCCTGAAGGCTAAATGGTCTGAAAAGCAAATGAGTTCTCCTAGGAGAAAAGGAGAAATGCTGAATTCCTGTGGGGTCTGGGAAGAAGGGATAGAAGGAGACGCTGAGCTACCTGCAAATGTGTCATAAAATGCTCCTCCGTGAAGTCTGCTAGAGAGACCTGACCTCAGTGTGTGGTTCTTGCTCTTGTAACACTCGGTTCTTCTTTTCATTTTTGACAAAGCTAGTCTTGCTGCTACTTTGGGCAAGGGGGGTGCTGGAGACCCCCGGAGCGGCTGTTTGAAGCTATTCAAACTGTAGTACTCTACTGAGTTTGTTCTTTCCCCTTGAAAAGTGTGCTGTTGTTGGATAAGTCTGGAGGCTGAAAGATTGGGTTTTCATCTTCCGTGTGTTACTATGTTCTGGGTAGTTGATTCTGAAGCCAAACTCCTTTTCCTGGAAAACAAAAATTACAAAGTAAAGGCCTTTCTGAGCAGAGCGTGATAACTCATAACTTCAGTATAAATCTGGGCTTAAAAAGAAAACAACAACAATAAAAAACGAAAAAGAAACCAAACAAATATTTTAATAAGCTAATTTTAAAGGCTGAAATTTTATGACAGTTTTCAAGCTTTGTATTTATGTTCAAAACCCTGAGGATGAATACAAGCTGGAATGTCTGTTTATGTTTGGGTCTTTTCCTGGGAAAGGATAAATGTGGAGCAGAAAGCAAACCGAATACGAAGCTCCCACCAGCAAAATGTGCACAGAGGAGGCAATACAATTCAAGGAAAACATGAGTTGGCAGTTGTAGCCAAGAAACAGAATCTAAGAGATACAGTCATGGAGAGGCATTTAGAAAAATCAAGAAAGAGTAATCCAAGTAGAAGCTACTTCTGGGGTCCTCAGAAAACAGTCAAGTGATAAAAACCACACAGAACTGAACACACACATACACAACACATGCAAAACTGGTGAGGTCGGATAAGGCCTGTGGGTTAGGCCCCTCTCTGATTCCCAGTTGTGCTATCGGGCTATAGCTTTGCAGAATTTATCCTTGTGGTCTGGGGGAGATGGGGATAAATGAAGATGACTTGTGAACACTGTGTGTTATTATTTGACTTGCATGGGAGCCTCAAACAATTTTTTTCGAAGTCTTTTATAAGAGATGTTGTTGTTGTTGTTAAGTGCCATCGAGTCGGGTCCGACCCATAGCGACCCTGTACAGGGTTTCCGAGGGTGTAAATCTTTACGGGAATAGAAAGCCTCAACTTTCTCCCGCGTTATAAGAGATAAGCTACATGAATTAAGAAAAAAAAAAATCTCAATAGACAGACCTCGGAGAAATTGCAGGTTGACCCCTGGATCACAGCTGTAAATGGACTATTTCGATACAGTGCTTAGTTTCCTGGTGCATGAAAATGCTATCGTAACTCCAGACTGTAGTTTAGGAAGTGTGTAATGTCATGAAGGAGTTCACCGTAGTGTGAGGATGACACAGAGACATAAGGACATACACACAAGCTGTTGGAAAATGGGGCCAATAGACTTGCTTGCAATGGGGCTGTCACAGGAGTTCTGGCTGTCAAAAAACGGAGTGTCTGTGAAGCACTGTAATAAGAAATTTGTCTGTATATTCAAATGAGCTCATATATGCCTTCGGGCAGTATGATAAGCTAAGAATGTGTTTTGAGTAAAACTCCACTGCTGTTTTCTCCCTGTGGTATTTATTTGCCTGAGGCGATTCTGTTCAGAACAGGAGTAGTCTCAAATGATTTCCAGTTCATTCCAAGTGGTTCCCTGTTATCTGAAATGGTGGACGACAGCTCAGAAATCACAAATCGGTACATTGATTCTTTTGAATAAAGAGGATATTTTCCAAAGAAAATTCGGGACATGTTCACCTGAAACGGGTCCTGAGTCTGTATTGGCTTCAATGCTCACACACGTGAGCGTGCGCGCGCGCACACACACACACACACTTAAAATTCGAAAGCTTGTGATTTACATACTTTTGCTTGTGAGGACTGAGAGAAGAGAACTTTTGAAGCTTCATCAGCGTATAAAAATTACTGACATCGTCAAGAAGTGTTGAGATTGCAGTTTTAGTATTGAAGCCACACAGGGTGAGAGAAGGAAGAGAGAGCTGGGACAGACAGGCATCTAGCCCTAAATCCTGTCATTGTGGTTGTTAAGTTTTGTCCAGTTGATTCCGTCTCATAGTGACCCTGTATAAGGTTTCCCAGGCATGACTAGTGGG